ATCCGTCTTCTTCTTTGGGTCTTCGTGCACAAGAATTATGGAGCAAAAATACCGCAGTTTTATGGAGCCTTTTTTCCCCTTTCCTTTGCTTTATTTCTCCCCTTCTTGTCCTCGGGTTTTTGACCTGCAGCCGCTTGGTCCACGCTAGGAGAAACAGAATGGGATCTGCTGAACTCAGCAAAGGCGCGCCTGTTTCCCCGTTCTGGATCTCTGGTGGTCCTAGAGGTGAGGTGCTTATCCCGGAAAGAGCCCCCAAAAATTCTTAAAAACAAGTTTCACTTAATAAATTATAAAAAGAATTTAATATAAACAAAAGACAATTAGGAGACAAAAGAAATAAAGCAAAGGGTTAAAACGGCCGGGTGCCCTGGTGGGTTACCAGGAACACACCTGGTATCTCAGGAGTGTCCTTTTTATCCCCTCTTTGCTGTGAGAGGTTAATGCATATTCAAGCATGTCCCCTCCCTGGTTCCACCTTCTTGGATCATGTTATTTTCTGCTGGTCAGCATTATTTTTGCTGGTCATCATTATTCTAGCTGGTCAGCATTATTTTGGAGTTTGGTTTCCTTTTTGCTGCAGATAGTCACTTGTTGATAACAGCCTGGGCCCCTGAGGGCAGCTGGTCTTCGTATCTTCCGCTGATAACAGTTTGGGTTCTATTGTTCTGATAACAGCTTGGGCCCCACTGTCCTTGCCCTCTGGGGTTTCCTTGCCTTGTACCTAGGAAATTCTTTTAAACTTAAGACTTGTTAGCATAGCTAAAAAGTATTTAATATATAATATTCATCTGCGAAAGCCAATATCACAATACAAATTTATAACAAGGTGGATAATAAATTAGGATCCTGGGATTTGTGTGAAAACTGGAAACATACAAAAAGCTGCTATAAAAATGTAATTATTTTTTCTATTGACAAAGCTGTATATTTTTACTTGTGAATAGAAGATACAAAGTATTCTAGCTAAAACATCAATGTTAAAGCCATATTATGCTTTATACTGATTCCTGTCCACCCACCTCCACCTACACACACAAAACTTGCCATTAAGATAAAAAAATCTGGATTGCTAAATAAACTTTAAAGTCTCATCTTGATATGCAGAAATCCTTGAAGATATGTGATATTGCTGCATTACTATTACTACTTGTTGCTGTGGGTTTTTGGTTTCTTGAGGGTCATGTTCTCTTGAGATACTCCCTCACGAGGAGTTTCCCTTATCTCAGTTCTGTTTCAGGAAAGATCCTCCAAACGCTCGTTAGCTTCTTGTTTCTCATCTTTATTCATATATAATTAAAAGACTTGGCAGGTCTTCCCCAGACCTTTTTGAACAAGTTCAACCCACCATTGCATGCCTCACTTCAGCTTGAAAAGCACAAAATGGCCCCAAAATACACAGTTCTTTTATCTTTATACTTATTTTTACCCAATTAACAACAGACATGTAAATTATTTTTCTTAGCAACCCAATGACCCATCACCTGTGTGCTGCACTGTGCATTTTCTATCCAATCACTTACTATTACCCATAAACCTCTAGAAGAAGATGAAGAAGAAAGAAAAGAGACAACACCCTAAATCCTCCATCTTGTCTTCGGCCCTCTAAATTAGCTTAAACTCTAAACTAACCTTTTCACACAGTGACTTAAGAAAACTTTCTAATCTACACACTTACATGTTAATATATTTTATATATTAGTAAAGGCCTGTATGCACAAACCAGCCTTTGAAATAAGTCATAATATTAAAGGCTAAAATCCTTGAAACTTGCCTGCAGAAGAGAGAGTAAAGCAAAACAATATTCCTGTGTACAAGCATAAGAATGTAAACTTGTGTGTACTAGCCAATAGTAGCTTGCTCTGCCTGCAGACCCTGTAGAACCCTTTAAAAGGTGTGCTAAAGATAGAAATAAACAGCGTTCACAATTACTTCTGTGAAGACTGGTGAATAGCTGGGGCGTCCTTCAATACTTACACTTTTAGCTTTTCTACTCAACAGTTGTTTTCATGGTGCTATATGAAATTCAGTGGTTTTTTGGATGTCAGAGCTAGGTATCAGAGACAAGGGCACACTGTGCCTCAGATTCCAACAGATATGTGCTCTTCTTTGAATAAGACTGTGACTCTGTGAAATGCTTGTTGAAACTACTGGGCCAAAGTCTACTCTCAAACCAACCAGGTACCCAGCAGTGAGTCAGAGAATCACAGAAGATTTCTTCTTCTGTGCAGGAGATCTGGAACTTGATATGGCTTCATGAGCTAAAGGGGTTCAATTCAAAATTCATCTTTGCAAAATTTCATCTATGTTGTAACTAATAACCATGGACTTACTGCCATTTTCTTGGCATGTGCTATTTGTGTGGCTTAAAACAGCCTCTTTGTTATACACATTATATACATATATATATACATATATACATATATACATATATACATATATACATATACATATACACAAGAAGAGGTCTGAGTGAACATTTTGATGCTTAGGGTGGAGCTTGGGGATTTGCTGTGTTATAAGTATTTAAAATACTCTCAGATTTAATGTATTTAATATTCTTTATTAGCACCAAACTCTATGTTCCCTCACTCTCCCATGCTCAAAATGTTTACAACTCTATCTGCCCCAAAACTTGCATTTCTTCCTGAAAAGTGACTACATTTTACAGCATAATTGCCAGGAGTGTGAATGTTACATGAAATACTCTCATCATATTCCATCATTTCACCCTAATGCTTTGATGTGTTTATCATGAGGTCTTTTTCAAGTGTTTTTGTTTTGTACACATGAGCTTGCTGCCTTGCTTTATATTTTTTCATTCTTCCCAAGATGGGGGCTTGAATATTTTTGAGAAGTGGAGTTGTTAAAAGTATGGGGATTTTTGATTTTTTATTTTTTTCTGTAGGAGTGTAGAGGATGACATGAGGATTTTTTATTTGCTTATTTTATTGTTTTGGTTAGGAAATAATCAAATATTTTTAAGGATAAAATCAAATCAACAATAATAGCTTCACTGACAGCAAAAATCCACCATGGTCACAAACTCACCTATAAAATAATTACTGCACTTTAAGATATCACATTTAATTGTCAAAATGGTGCTTTTCTGCTCCTTCCATGCACTGTGAGAATGTTCTCAACTTGACCATTGATCATTCTTGGTGTTCTGCTGAGATCTGGGGCTTCAGGGTTGCAATTCCAGCCAACATTCTCACCCAGATTCTGCTTTTTATGGTAAATATTACACTCTGGTAGATAGATGTGCAGATAGTGAGAACAATAGTTTGGCAATCAGCAAAAGATTGCTTCAGGTGCCTACTTTTCCAAAAGATTCAATCAGCATACATGTTAATCTACTAAATTGTTATTTTTGGACTGAATTCCTGAAAGCTAGTTTCTGAACTGTAGCATTAGTGCATCTTAGGAAAAATAAGGAGGATTTTGCCTTTAAGGCTGCATTGTGTTTGGTAGTGTTACCACAAAACATATTCAGAAGTATAAGAGTCCTGCAGCAACATGGACGGTACTTGCGCAGAGTGAAGAAGTTTTCTGCTGCAAAAAGTAAAGGTTTACACTACACTTTTACTTAAAGTACAGAGAAGCAGCTTTAAAAAATTAGTATGCTTTCTGGCTTGCCATTCTGTACCATAGATCATGGTTTATGGAGTCCTATAGGCAAAGTAACTTGGGAATTAGGCTTGGGACAGGGAGCAGGAGCCTCTTGATCCATTGCTCCTGCTGAGGCAGTGAAAACCATGAAAATCTGAGTGGGAGCAAGTGGATTTGGGTCTCACATCCACAATGATGCTTAGTCCAGCATTCTGAGGGAATGTTTGTACATGTATGTCATAAGCAAAAGAAATGCACTTACCTTAGACTTTCAATCTGTTGTCAGGATCACAGTGAAGCACTGGGGCTCCCACCTCCTGCCAAATTTTTATCCTCTGTGTGATGCATTTGTATGATGCAGCATGTCAAGCTGCATCATGAGGGCACGAAACCAGGAACGGGTCTAATTCTTGATGAATCTCTTTACTTTGGTGCTGACACTGGTGGGATAAGACTCTGAGGGATGATTTCATCCTGATGAAAGTATTTCAAAGCCCAGCAATTAATGCCTCACGTAATTGCAGGAGTACCTTACCAGAAGACCATACCTGAAAATACATGGAAGAAGAGAAAATGGTGTAGCAGAAAATAAAGTGCTTTTATTGTTCAGGCCTAAGTGATGACTTTAAGTCATCACTAAGTTTGATAATTTCAGTAACATTTTACAGCCTCATCATACAAACTATGCTTTCTTCCCATTTTTTTTGGGCTGGTGTAATAATTCCTCATAGAGAGACCAAAGGAAAAATGGAGTATTTGTCAAAGTCAGTAGAATACTTCCTTCCTAATGAGCCTGTTCACAGGCCTTGTATTTCCTCTACGTGATCTGCTTAGAGAGGCCTTGGGAAGTAAAAGGACTTTGGATTCAATGTATTTCAGCAAAAGCTTAATCTTGTTAGCTGAGTTGAACACTTTTGCCCAACAACAAAGACCACTTTTGGAGAGGTAGAGGTAGTGAACTGTTATGAATATAATCAGCCTTGGTGGTTTCTTTTCCTTTTCCTTTTCCTTTTCCTTTTCCTTTTCCTTTTCCTTTTCCTTTTCCTTCCCTTCCCTTCCCTTCCCTTCCCTTCCCTTCCCTTCCCTTCCCTTNAGGTGCTTTTTACTTCCCTTGTTAATATCCGCCCATGGGCGCTGTAATATGTCAAATATCCCAAGTTTCTTGGATTATTCCTCAATTTGGCAGTTTTAAATCCAAATTTCTTGGATTTAATCCTCAACTTGACAAAGTTTTAGAGAATCCACATTTTACTCTGTTTTCCCAGTGGATTGTGCCAGGAAAACCTTGGGCTCCCTTTCCCGAGGGGCCAACCCCTCCCCTGAGACCCAGTCCCAGTAACCCCGGGGGTATCTTGCAACCCCCGCTTCCCGCTCCCCCAAAGATTACTTACAATCCGTCTTCTTCTTTGGGTCTTCGTGCACAAGAATTATGGAGCAAAAATACCGCGGTTTTATGGAGCCTTTTTTCCCCTTTCCTTTGCTTTATTTCTCCCCTTCTTGTCCTCGGGGTTTTGACCTGCAGCCGCTTGGTCCACGCTAGGAGAAACAGAATGGGATCTGCTGAACTCAGCAGGGGCGCGCCTGTTTCCCCGTTCTGGATCTCTGGTGGTCCTAGAGGTGAGGTGCTTATCCCGGACGAGCCCCCAAAAATTCTTAAAAACGAGATTCACTTAATAAATTATAAAAAGAATTTAATATAAACAAAAGACAATTAGCAGACAAAAGAAATAAAGCAAAGGGTTAAAACGGCCGGGTGCCCTGGTGGGTTACCAGGAACACACCTGGTATCTCAGGAGTGTCCTTTTTATCCCATCTTTGCTGTGAGAGGTTAATGCATATTCAAGCATGTCCCCTCCCTGGTTCCACCTTCTTGGATCATGTTATTTTCTGCTGGTCAGCATTATTTTGGAGTTTGGTTTCTTTTTTTTTTTTTGCTGCAGATGGTCACTTGTTGATAACAGCCTGGGCCCCTCATCCTTCCCCTGAGGGCAGCTGGTCTTCATATCTTCCGCTGATAACAGTTTGGGCTCTATTGTTCTCCTGATAACAACTTGGGCCCCACTGTCCTTGCCCTCTGGAGTTTCCTTGCCTTGTACCTAGGAAATTCTTTTAAACTTAAGACTTGTTAGCATAGCTAAAAAGTATTTAATATATAATATTCATCTGCGAAAGCCAATATCACAATACAAATTTATAACACTTGGTTGGAAGGGGACCTCAAGGATCATCTGTTTCAGCACTCCTCTTAAAATTCTATCTTAAAGTTTTCCATTATTGGGATAATCAACCACTACTCAGGAGAGATACAATGACTGATTGTTTTCATTGTGAAAAATGTTCCTCTTATGTCTAATTGAATTTTCCTAAGAGTAACTTGAACTTACTATCCCTTGTCTTTTCCATGTGATTCCTTATAAAAACAGCTTCCTTTGTTTTTGCAGTCATCTTTTAAATACTGAAACACAGCCTCCCCTAAGCCTTTTGTACTCAAAGGTAAGAAAACCTTCTTCTCTCAGCCTCTTGAGCTATCTTAGCTCAACCCAGCTCTCTTCTTGGCCCAGCCCTTTGATCATTTCTATGGCCCTTCTTTGGACATTTTCCAGCCTGACCACATCTTTTTGTACAGTGGTCTTAAAAACGAGATTCACTTAATAATTTATAAAAAGAATTTAATATAAACAAAAAGACAATTAGGAGACAAAAGAAATAAAGCAAAGGGTTAAAACGGCCGGGTGCCCTGGCGGCTTGCCAGGAACACACCTGGTATCTTGGGAACACTCTTTTTATTCCCTCTTGCTGTGAGGATTTTATGCATATTCAAACTTTTTTCAAGAAGTATTTAGGATGTCCCCTCCCTGGTTCCACCTATTTAGAACATTTTTATTTTCTGCTGGCCAGCACTATTCTTGCTGATGAGCATTATTTTGGAGTTTGGTTTCCTTTCTTTTGCAAATGGTCACTTTTGATAACCATCTGGGCCTCTCATCCTTCCTTTTGAGGGCAGCTGGGCTTCATATCTTCTGCTGATAACAGTTTGGGCTCTATTGTTCTCCTGATAAGCAGCTTGGGCCCCACTGACCTTGCCCTCTGGGGTTTCCCTTGCCTTGTACCTAGGAAATTCTTTTAAGCTTAAGACTTGTTAGCAAGAAAAAAGTACATACATAGCTAAAAAGTATTTAATATATAATATTCATCTGCAAAAGCCAGTATCACAATACAAATTTATAACAGTGGGGATAAGAACTGAGCACAGTATTCCACCTGTGGCTTGACCAGAGCTGAGTAGATTAGAAAGATGGCTTTTTTGTCTCTGCTGGTCATGCTCTTGTTGATGCAGCACAAAATCACATTGGTTTCCTTTCTGGCATCATCATAGTGCTCACTCATATGGACTTGTTGTCCAAGACCCTTCCACAGCCAGGTAGATCCTAGCTTGTCCTGCACTCCTGGATTATATTTTTCCAGGTGCAATATTTCACACTTGTCTAGTTAGCCCACTCTTTCAGCCTATCCAGGTCTTCTTGCAGGGTGGCTCCCCCTGCCAAAGTGCCCACTTCACCACTCAGTTTGGTATCATTGGCAAACTTGGTAAGTTTATACTTGATCCCAACTTCCATGTCACTTAGGAAGATACTAAGAAAGAAGAGATGAAGATATTAAAAATTATTATATATATATATGAAGATATTATGAAGACACATTCTGAAGATACATAAAATATACAAAAAGGGATTTTGCTAGCATAGTTCTTACGTCTTAGTGGTGGTGAAAGAATGAAATATTGTAAAACCTGATTATAGTGATGTCTATTCAGGAAAAAAACAACAAAAAATTTACATATATTTCAGCATCCTTCAGTTCTGACCCAAACTCACTGATTTCAGTGTGAATATATATTCTGGGCTTAGCTTCATGTAAGTAAAGCAGGGGTTCTCAGGTTCTCCTCAGTCTTGAACATTTGGTTGGAAAGAAATGAGGTGAGCCTCAGACAGAGCTAAAAGCATAGAACAAGAACCAGGGCTCCTGGTGTGTGGATGATCTACCACATGGCTGCAAGCTATGGGTCAGGGGTCCCCCTGCAATAAACACAGGAAAAGGGCACTTCTGTATGAGACACTGCATCACTGTGTGGGAGATCCCTGCACTGTCAGTAAGTCAGCACAGACAGTGCAGTTCTAGCAGGGTCCCAAACTTGTACCTTTCAGACAGTGTAAGATGTCACACTTTTGCTCTCCTTGAAGCCCAAGGAGCTCCTTATACCAGGCAATGAGAAGAGGGCTTAGTGGATACTTGATGCAGTGCACAGATACTAATGTACAGACCATGGATCAGAGTACATGGGCTGGAAAGGCATTTAAATAACCATGGTCTCCTTGTGAGGGCAGCTCATTAATCTTTTTTTTCTGCATAATCTTTAATCCTAGCTAAAAAATCAGAAAATAGAAACCAATTATAAAAAAAAACCCAAAACAAACAAACCACAACAAAACAAAACAACAAACCCCACAAAAACAAACAAACAAAAAAAAAACCACAAAGAAACAACTCCAAACCAAAATTCCAAGCATTAGGTGCACTTGCTTTCTGATTATTCTCTTTTTGACATAACTTATAACTATATATTCTCAGTCTACAAGTCTAACATTTGTAACATATATTAGCTTTTTAATCAGCATCTGCAATGAAAAGTCTGTGTTTCTGTGCAGCAAGCAGAAAATGCACTTGGCTTCTGTGTTTCAAGCTGTAGATTAAGCAGTGGTTGTCTGGAGAATATTCATTATTATTATTATTATTATCATTATTATTATTATTATTATTATCTTCATCATCATCATCATCATTATCATTATCATTATCATTATCATTATCATTATCATTATCATTATCATTACTGTTGTTGTTGTTTTGTTGTTGTTTTGTTGTTGTTTTGTTGTTGTTATTATTAATACCTTATTATTATATTTTAAAGCCAGGATAATTAATCTTATCAAATATTTACAGAGTAAATTTATATCCTTGAATTAGATATCTGATGAATTTGGCTGCCTAATTGTTTGATGCCCTTTTAATCTGTTGTTTTGTAAACCAGTTATTAGCCAGTGAATCATTGAGCTGTTAACAAAGTCATTGTCAATAAAAGTATGATACAGAAGCAAAGCTATCTCGTAACACTTCAGCAATATACAATGCAGTCAGGTGAAAAGAAAAGAAAAAAATAAATTATTAGGATGCTGTACAATGCATTGAAATCAAAATGTCCCCATTTACTGTGCAAAAGAATTGGAAAAGCAAAACACTACTTGAATGTCTGAGTCTCTGTCTCTATAAAAACCAGAGTGAAACTATAGCACCCACTCATTCCCACTTCAAACCAATACCAAATGCACATAATTCACCTTTCAGCCATTCCCAGGAAACACAAACTTCTCAGAAAAAAAGTGATTTTCATAGTTTGAAATATGATGACCAAATTAAGAGCTTGACACTGTTCAAAATACTAGGCCAGCACCAATTCACACAAAAAGCTCTTTAAAATGCAAAATGCACCTGCACAAGTGCTTTTGACTTTAATCCACATGTTGACAAACAAGGTGCATGTGGTTCAAAGGTGACTGATTTTATAAACACACAGAAAGTATTTTAAATACTGAATTCATCTCTGTTATGCAGAGCAGTAGAAACACATTACTGGAATTGTTCCACAAGAAGAGCTCAATCATCCAGCTCGGGGGAGCTTGGGAGAGTTAGAGTAAAACATTTCAGTCAAAATATGTGCAAAGGTTGCCTTCTTCAAATCCCAGTGCAACTGGTTTTGACTGCTTTTAAACATGAGAAGTACCAAGGAAATAGATAGTAGATAAAACTAAATAACTTCTGCCAGGTAATCACCTCAGTGTGATCACTTACATACTTACTAGAAAGGCCTTTGCAGGAATGTTTTCACTGGATCATCTTTGAATCAATCTGTCTTCATCTTCTTTCTTGGAAAATCCCAATATTATATGTGTGGAAGGGCTGATCAGACAAGCATCTCATGTATTCACCTTTACTTCAAAAATCATAATACCAACATTACTAATTTTTCATAGAGCATTGTATATAGTTCTTTTATTTTCTAAAAAAAGTAGGCTAAACACAATTACCTTATAATGAATTATTAAAAATTACTTTTTGCTAGGTCTTTTAGTCATTTCCCTAGTTAAATTGTATATTGGGCAAAACTAAATGAAAACCAACAAAAAACAATTCCTAAAATAAAATAAAATAAAATGGAACAATGAGGTGCATGGATAGACTCTACAACTATAATGACTGAGGTACAAAATGTGTTGTAAGATTCAAAACAAATTTTGTTGCCTCTCTGCTAGTTGTAGCCTTTGTGGTTGTACAGAATAGCATGCATATCAAAACAGACATTGCATTTTCAGCAGCACAAATAAGACACACTGCAAACGGAAAAAACAAACAAAATTTCTCAACTATCTTGCTAAATCTGTATAAACCCATTTAAAGCCTCAGCAGGAGCTTAGGCATTGTATATGCTCTCTGCTAATCTTCTGCAAACAAGTGATTTTTATTAAATTAAACCTTGTCTTATTGCCCATTGAAACCTTTTTAAATAAATAACTTATAAGTATTTATTTTGCCCTCTATGATAAGACTGAACTCTAAACTAAACTTAATTTTATACACACATTTCTGCTTGTTGTTTCTGACAGTGACTGTTGGAGTCTGAGATACAGAGTGTGTGCACTGGGTGAAAAAGTAGTTTAGAGAACAGGCGACAAGATGGAGGATTTAGGGTGTTGTCTCTTGTTCTTCTTCTTTCTTCTTCATGTTCTTCTCATAGGGGTTTTTGGGTAATAGTAAGTGATTGAATAGAAAATACCGTAGTGCAGCACACAGGTGTTGGGTCATTGGGTCAGTAGGAAAAATAATTTAGTTGGCATCTGTTAATTGGGTAAATGGACATATAAAAGACCTTGAAGAAGATCTTAGTTTTACCCTTTTCTATCATAGTGCACATAGCTCCTTGTACCTTGTAATTCTGATAAGAAAAGAATAAACAACTGAGACCAAACAAGAGAAACTAGCCTCCCTCTCGTCAATCTTAAGTTGAAAGGGAAAAAGAACCTAACCCAAAAGTCTTTAACTAGACAAGTGACCATTAAAACCACACAGCAGTTATCCAAACACACTGAAAGTATCATTTCACAAATTACAGAGAAAACATTTTGAAACCTTACTTTAAAAAAACAAATCAGGGATAAGATTTACTTAAAGAAATTAATTGTCTTGATTTTAATACCCATGCAGATGGAGAAACAATTGTCTGAGAAATTGAAAATCTGAATCTGAGATTCACATTCTTGGGAAATGGATGTTTAGAGAAAGAGACAAAATGAAACCTTACGGATATTTCATTTCTATTTCAAATTTTTCCTCAGTTCACCTCCTCAGTAAAGCTACTGTAAATCTTTTTAGCAGACAATTAAGGAACTACTTTGAAGCATCTTGTTTTCTAACTAAAAGAGCCATTGATGACTTAGATGGACCCTGTACCTGTAGTGCACAGAAAGGTGTAGTTTTTTGGTGGTGATTGAAAGACAGAATAAAGCATCCTCCAAATATCCAGAAAGAGTCAGCAGATGTTTAAAGATGTTAAAACCTCTTTTCAAGGAGTTTGTTACAACAGAGAACTTGTTTGACTGCTTGACTGGGACACTTCAGTGCTGAAACATACCAGACTTAATTATAGTAGAGGATGTGACATGCTTCTGTGAAACCACCCATGGCATCAAACTACGTGGTCAGATTCCACCTTCTGGACTTTCTGAGATTTATTCTTGCACTTAATAGGAAAAGGTGATTTGTGACACTTAGTTAAATGACATTTTATAAATTACATATTTAGCTAGCATAATTAAGCATTATTGAGAAGTTCTAAAAGAACAGTTACCCAAGACCATGCAAAATTGACAAAAAACAATTTCATTTTAAATGCACTATGTCTTCCAGATGCTGTTGTAAATGCTAATAGTCACACAGTTTAATTAAGCATGTTAGTGCTATACAATAATTGAAGAGACAACTTCATCAAAGTTAAAATCTGACATTTAAAATACAGCTTGTACAGGTACAAAGAATTAAAATTATGACACCAGCCTATACATTACTAAAACACAGAATTGGTGTAACAAATTAGAAACAAAATATCAGAATAAAGTGTTCAATTTGACCTTATTGTTTAAAACAATGATGTACAGGTACTTATTAAGTTATCTCTGTTCTGCATTAGCTAGAAATATATTCAGATCATAATACCTAAGTTATTAAAATGTCATATAAATTCTCAGCAGTTATTCAGCTAACATAAAAGGCCAAATGAGTGCTTGAATTATTTGCATTTTATGATAGCTTTTCTTTTTATGTCCTATTAGACTACCGAAACTGCAGATCACACTGATACACATCAAGAGGTGGACAGTGCTCAAGGAACTATGATTTCCTGGAAAGGTTGCATTACTGGACTTGGTCATCTGTCTGGGAAGTTTTTGGGGACATCAAAACATGGAAATATATGGTCTTTGGATAAGTATGAGTGCTGATATATTTTATATATTAGTAAAGGCCTGTCTGCACAAACCAGTTTTTGAAATAAGTCGTGATATTAAGGGCTAAAGTCCTTGAGACCTTCCTGCAGAAGAGAGAGCAAAGCAAAACAATATCCTTGTGTATAAGAAAAAGAATGTAAATCTGTGTATATTAGCCAATAGTAACTTGCTTAGCCCGCGGACCCTGCAGAACCCTATAAAAGGTGTGCTAAAAATAGAAATAAAAGGCGTTCACTTTTACTTCTGTGAAGAGTGGTGAAAAAGCTGGCGGTCTCTCAATATATGAGCATTGTTAATTTGGTGACTCATGGTGGGAGAGTTAGGATAAAACTGAAAAAAGAAAAAAAAAAATGTGTTTCATAGACTTTTTCTGTACTTAGTTTGCAGAGTGAGCCTATATTTAGCCAATTTCAGGTACCTTCCAGGGTTGAAATTCTTTCCTATCAGGAGAGATTGCACCTGGTCCTGGATACAGACCTTATCTGTGAGTATGAAGATACAGTAATAGAATCACAGAACACTGGGTTGGAAGACACTTGAAAGTTCATCTTGTTCACTAACCTGTCATGGGCGAGAACGTATGTTACTAGATCAGGTTTCTTCATCCACACTTGAACTTGAATACCTCCAGTGTTGTGGCATCAACAACTTCCTGAGTAAACTTTTTCCAGTGTCTCACTATCCTCCTTGTAAAAAATTCTTCTTTAAATCAAATCTAAATGTAACCTCTTTTAATTTAAAATCATTGTACTTTCACTACAGGCCTTGGTACAAAGTGTATCTCCATCTTTCTTATAAGCCCACTTTAATTATTGGAAGGGTACAATAAAATCTGCCACAAGTATCCTCCAAGCTGAACAATCCCAGCTCCCTCAGTCTCTCCTAACAGGAGAAGTGTTTCTGCCCTCTGATTATTTCTGTGGCTCCACTCTGAACCCAGGAGTAACAAGTCCACATCCTTCCTGTTTTGGGACCCCAGAGCTGGAGGCAGCTCTGCAGGTGGGGTCTCACCAGAGCGGAGCAGAGGGGCAGAATCCCCTCCCTCCCCTGCCGCCCACGGGGCTCTGGATGCAGCCCAGGACACACTTGGCTCTCTGGGCTGGGAGCGTCCATGGCTGGCTCATATCCAGCTCTCAACCCCAGTCCCCCCAAGTCCTTCTGGGCAGGGCTGCTCTGGATCTGTTCATCCCCAGCCTGGGCTGGCACCAGAGATTGTCCTGACCTAGGTGCAGCACCAGCACCTGGCCTTGTTAAACCTTGTGAGATTCCCATGGGCCACTGCTCGAGCTTGTCTAGGTCCCTCTGGGTGGTATCCCATCACTCAGGAGTGCCAACTGCACCACTCAGCTTGGTGTCATCTGAGAACTTGTTCAGGGTGCACTTGATCCCTTTGTCTATGTCATTAATGGAGATATTAAGCAGCACGGTTTGTAATACTAAGTCTTGAGGGACACCATTCATTACTGCATCTCACCTACATCTCAGTTGGAGGCTAGGATTTTTTCCTTCTTTACTTTCTCTCATGGAGTTTTGTCCCATTTGTTGCTGAGAGACAATAACTACGGGTACTTACAAGAATAAAAATGTGCCTGGGAGGAGGAAGAGGGGGAACTGGTCACTCTCTTACCAGCGGAGTTTTCTCTGAGGAAGGGCAGAGATACTGCAAGATTTTGGCTGGGGATGATGGGCTGGGCTCCTCTATGCCTCTCTGGCTCTTGGGATCAGAGGAAGACAGTTAACAGTTGCTTACTATAGGGAGAATCCACTGACACTGCAGAGCCTGGCCCTGTACAGCTTCTTCTTACTGGCGGTGGGCCTTTGCTTTTAAGAGCAGCCATTGAGCTGGGAACTTATTGGCACCCTGCCTCACTGGAAAGGACTCTCACCATCTCCCTTGGTGCTTCAGAGCAAAACCCGGGATGCCAAGCCCTCTCCCTTCCCAGCAGGCGCTTCTCCCTGACTGCATGTGGCAGTGGCTGCAGAGAAGCCTGGCTGCCAGCACCCAGCACCGCTGCGTTCTGCCGCTGCCTCGGCCTTTTCCCCTACACTAACCCAGCACCCCGCACCCACCCGAGCCTCCACAGCTTTTGCTAAGGTTGTGGAGTTTTCTGTTACAATTTTTTGGCCGCTGCAGGGAGCGTGCCTGCCACTGCCATGCCAGCCGCTGCTCCGAGGTTCCTGCTGCAGCCCGCGCCACCACCCAGCCACAGCCATGGCCAGGTGAGGGAGCTGTGGCTGAGCCCCCGCGTCACAGCGCCCCCTGCCGGCGCGGCGGAATTCCCGCGGGCGAGCTGCCCGCTGGGGAGCAGCAACGCCCCCTTGCGGCCGTGCCCGGAACTGCAGAGAGGGGAGCACTCGGCAGAGACCTTGATGGGTTTTCTGCTCTTCTGTTCACTGCTGCTGCCTTTGTTGTTGTTTGTTTGCCTTGCTGTACACACACATACCACTAAAGCACTGTTATTCCTTTTCCCATGTCTTTGTCTGAAAGCCCCTGAATTTCAAAGTTACAATAATTCAGAGGAAAGGGGGTAATATTTTTCATTCCACGGGAAGTTAGTGCCCTCCTCAGCAAATATCTGTCTCTCAAACCAAGACACTCTCATTCCATACCAAACCCATATCTTTCCAGCTTAGAGATAAGAATGTTGTAGGGAAGCCTATCGAAGGCCTTAGAGATGTTTAGTGAGATCCTTAAGTCTTCTGTTATCCACTGATGTAGTCACTTAATCGTGGCCAGATGAGTTAAGCACCATAACCATCTCAGAAGGTGGTCCACAACAGCCAAGGCAAGAAACAAGGAATTAAACAGCCAGACAAAACACCTGGAAGGAAAGACCACAGTCACGTCTACCTCCAGATAATCTGAGAGATTTATCACTTGAAGCCTTTAACCCCCTTCTGAAGTCAGATGTTTATGCCTGGACTTTCTGCATTAACAATTCTGGCAACAAGAAGTACCTTTGTGTAAACATTTCTAAACAGCTGTACCATTTCCCTTTTGCCATTTCTTCTTTTGCACAGGAAAATTTGAGCCCACAGGTTCCTCTCTGCCCCCGCTTCCACTCCGCCTTTGCTGAATTTGAATGTGACAGAAGCTCTTATTGGGCATGATGGATTTGAGAACAATGTCATACACTGAAGTCTGAACTCATGACAAATTTCCATTTTGTTTGGGGCATTGAAAAGCCCAGGAGAATGAAAAGTCCTGGATATTTTCAGTCATTTTCTGAATAAGAGATACTTGGATCCTACTGCCTGATGCAAACAGTATTTAGTTATTGAGCATTAAATAGGCAAGGAAACAAACAGCTTCACTTTTCAGAAAGAAGGAGAGAAAAATATTTCTAGATCCCATTTCATTATCAAGCAACTTCCCTCCAGGTGTTACGTACTGACACAGGGAAGAGCTGAAACATCATATCTGAATATCTCCCTGCCATGTTCCTTGAGATTACTATTCAGGGCTTCCTCCTTGCATTTTGCAATTTCCCAGGAGAGCTAATTGAACAAACCAGATAAGAGCAGTGAATCTGAGCACCAAGCAGAGATCCCGCACCCAAGTCATTTTAATGCATTATCTACATACATATGTATTATCTACAATCATATGTAGTGGGTGGCATTTTTGAATAGTGTTTTAAATCATTTCATGTGCATTTGCAGCCATGATAATTCTGTTTTGATGTTCAGGCATCTGACTCTGGCTTATGTATTTTCTTTTCATGTCTAAAATCTCTTCTATTTCAGAGAAGCAAGTACTCTCTAAGAATAAGTATTGTTCCAAAACCTTGGTGGAACTACAAGAATCAAATTATTTTTATAGTGCTGCCAAAAAAACCCAAAACAAACCTCCCAACCCCCCCAACAGGCAAACAAACAAATAACAAACAAATAACAAACAAACAAAAAACAGACAAACTGAAAAAGAAAAAAAACCAAACCAAAACAAACAGCCAAACCAAAACAAGAACAACAAAACCCAACCAAACACAAAAAAAACAGAACAACTTTTCTATACCCTGACTGGGGGAAATTGATACTCCTTATGAGCCCTGTATAAAAACAAAGATTGTCATAACTAAAAAGTGTGCACATCAATTACACTAAATTGCCTTCTTACATTCTTCATGTTTCTGTTAGGTTAGGCATTTAACAGAACTTTTAAAGCCCTGTTGCACTGTATTCTCTGAAACCTGTCCAAGTTTTCATTTCCAGCCCTCCTGATGAAGGAAAGCGGTCTCCTGGATAATATATTCTACTTCAGAAAAGAATCAACATCTAATATAGTGTAGGTAGTTAATTACTATTATTTTTCCCTCAAGGAGATGACCTGCTTTAAGGTTGTTCTCACCTTAGCAAAGAAGAGGTCTTTTGTATAGGAAAAAAAAAAATGCTGAGACAACACTTACCAAAGGTTACAAATAGAGGTGTTGTTTAAATATTAATTTTATGAGGTATATTTTATATCTAATGAACTAATTATTCTTTTGTTACCTTGCTGCCTAAAAAAAAAAAAAAAAGGAAATCCTTATTTCAGCTTTTAAATTGCTTTTACAGTTTTGATTCAAATACCAAAACTGAAGCTATTTATTTGAAGCAAATAGAAAAACAAACCAAACCAAACAAACAAAAAAACCCCCAACCAAACAACAACCAAAAAGCCCAAGCAAACAAACCAGTTGAAACAGTAGAAAACAGATTTAGAATTATACAATTTGGACACACACCTGAGAAAATTAAAGTCTTTGTAATTCTGGCCCATAATTAGAAACATATACATTTTGTATTTAAGTTTGTAGAGTCCTGTATTTCAGTACTTATTCCATTCTTTCATTTCTCACTTAATAAATCAATTTCAACCTGAACTAAAGCTTATGGATCATGAAAACTGAAGTTGCTGGTAGTAATTCTCCTGTCCTTTGACAAGACCTTTAAGCATGTGCTTTAAGAGGCTCTGTAAATCTGAGCAGCCACAATTGATCTCAATTGGTTTTAAGATTTCTCCATGCTTTTATAATGAAAAGTAGACACTCTTATAACAAAATCTGACCAGGTCTTGGTATTTCCAGCGAATGTTCTCCTTCCCATTCACAGCAAATCTGTTCTTTCAGTGACATCTCAGCCTTAAGAAAAGATCAAAGCTGTTTCTGCTAAGATATGTCATCTCAGACACTACAGTGGTAGAGAAGGAAAGTTTCCCTGCTAGAAATTCTACTAAGGCTCTTGTGTTCCAGTGGTTATCCCATATCTATGTACTTTTGGTTCCTAATTTGTTAAGCCTGTACTTTTTTCTGGCACAACATCCTGCACCAAAATGTCAGGCAATCAACTTTAATTTCATGTTAAGTAGAAAATTACTTCCTTTGAAGTCTGACATCTTAATCTAGGGATGTTCTGGTAAGTCGTGAACAAGTGTTCACTGTGAATTTCTGTCACATTTGTGACTGTAGACATTGAATTGTGCATTTCTGTAAAAAACTCCCCATAATAACTACTTTATTCTGTATATAATGTTTCATCTTCTCTTTGTTTAAATTTTGTTTGGAATCTACTTTTTAAAAAATTTGTTTAAGGAGGTCTGAGAACTGACAGTTCTGTATGTCTCCAAGGATACATATCTTCAGGCTGTATGACTCAGGGTTTGGAATTTTTATATTCCATCTTCCAAGAAAAGAGCATCTTTGATTTTGCCACCTTAGTTTGTTTACCTGATGATGAAGTAACAGCTTGAGCCTTTGAGCCTCTTCACAAAGCCTGGGGAAATTATTAAATTCTAAAACAAATTGGCCCAGGTTCCTACAGTAGCAGCTATTCAAACCTGAGCACAAACATACACATTGGTATTATGCATGCAAAACATGTAATAGGCTGTCCAAACCTGCTTTCTCTTCCTAGGAGGTAAACCAGTGACATGGCAGAGAGGCACAAGACGAAAAAATCTTCAGCCATGATGTTCTCCAATGCCATGCAGTTAAAGTAAAGAGCATCTGATCT